AATCACACCCTTCTCCATAATTTTCTATGACCACATATCCAATGCAGGGTCTCAGTGATCCTGGAACCCATCTCGGAATGCCCAGGACACATGGTAGGGAACTTATCATAGGAAATGCACACTATGGGCATCAGCAGAATTTGATGTTTGCACCTGTGGGGGGGGGGGGGTCGTTTTCGTTGGCTGTCCGGCTTTTGCAAACTTGACAGCTGATAACGCCTCATAGGAGATTTAGGGCATAGTCCCGCTTGGCCCGGCTGCCTTGTACTGGGCCCCAGCATCATTGTCCCCCTCCCCACTTCCCTGCTGGTCTGTGCTCACATTGCACGTAACAATCAAGGCCCAATGGAGTTTGTGATTAATGTCCTTATTTTGTGGCTTATTTGGAGTCACTTTGGACGCGATGACACACAGCCCTCATAGATTTATCGAGTATGCAACATGGTGATTTTCATTTAATCGTGCTGCATGTATAAGACGATTTTCCAGTATTTTAACAAATATCTTGGAGTTTTTGTGTTTTACGTCCAGTTGTTCCTGGATACTCTCGTCAGCTCAAATTTCAAGCGAACACTGCAGCTCTGCTGTAAAACAAAGTGATCCCTTTGCAGCAATGTTTGCTAAATGTTTATCGCTACCAGATCTGTACAGTCTGCCCGATGCATTCCTTATGGGTCCAGTTCATGTATAATCTACATATGCACATGTGCCAGTAGCGTGACTGACATCATATCTGTGTTCCATGCTCGGGCACAGTTACTGATCACACTAGATGCAGACCATACCCGAGTCCAACTGAGCAGTGCCCAGACCCAGACCTAGGCACCGTATGGAGCGATCACTCTAGTTTTACCCTTAGATGTGCCATGTATACTTTAAATTTACATGCAATACGGGTATAGTAGTACTTGAAAACCAAAATTTATATTCTGGGGACCTGAAAAATGTCCCCACTAGATAAAAAGGTTTAACCACAGTGTGTAAGTGTGTACTTGGTGGGGCAAATGGGAAGAAGACACAGTAATTTCGCAGACTAAATGCATTCTCTAGTATCACAAAATTTGTAACAAAATGCATTTTGTCATTAAAGTATACTTTTTCTACATGCAATGCTTTTGTGGAACCATAGAATGCATTTAGTCTTTTGCTGAGTCTTAAGATCAGTTGATAGTTAGTGAGTGTTTCTCAAATCCCTTTGTAACTAATCTTGCCCATAAATTTACGAGTGCTCGACTCACTCATTATATTCTATGTCATTCTGCTATCATGTCACAGAGACACAGACATCAACTGTCACAGATCACAAAAAACACATACACACTTTGTTGGACAAAGTAGCAATAACAATAGCAATGACAGCAGTAGCAACAGCATTGACAATTATGAATTTTACAAATATGATGACTACCATTATCATCATCATAGGGCGATGGTGCAATAAAAGTCTACAATGTACCCTATAAAGCAGGGTGGGTATTGGTAAACTGGGATGATATTTGAAATTGTACTTTCTCTCTCAGTGTAACAATAAGATCCTACTCATAAATATAAAACCAGTTATCAATGAAAGCACAAAAAATGAACTGAAGTTAATAGACCACAGAGCCAGATATGGTGTACCAAACATTTGAGTGTCCCAGTTTACTCTTTGTCCCATTTAACCAATATTTACCCCAGCTCAAATGAGCTCTTTGTACATTCCACACCTGCATGCAATTTGCATACAATAAATGAAGTCGCCGATCAAACTTGCCATATATTGCAAAGCAGAAGCGCAATCTACTGCTTTCCCCAGCACAATCATAACCTCGTTTACAAATCAATGCGTGTGGAGTCCTAACAGCTATCGTCCCCTGATCTTCCGGGAGTCAGTTTCCACAGTCCATTGCAAATAATTGTCTCTAATAGAAATTTCCAAGTGTACTATTATTTCCCTATTCTTTCCTGGGTGCTTGGAACGCCTTCTGTGTTCATCCATGTGTGTGGGAGGCTGATTTATGGGAATGGAATTCTACAATTAGACATAGCATTTGAGACCACGGCATCCAAGAAACCGATTTGGTGGCTTGAATGCTGTTTTGCAAGTGGAGTTAAACCCCTTGTGCCATCTTGAAAATGAACAATTGAGAGGTTACCCAGGGGCCAGCAACTGGTGGTGCCTCTCCCTCTTCACTCTCTTGAGTAGGAGCCTTTCATTCTCAGGCTGCACCCTCACCCTTTCCAGTGCACATAGTACTTCACTGCACTTATCAGTATAGGCTGTGCTTCTGGAAGGGCCTGTATGAGTATGAGGGCCCTGGAGATGGGCTATCACTGGTGGAGGGACAGGGGCAGATTAGGATGGATATTGCCCAGCACACATGACAGTCCCAGACAGCATGGCTAGGACCTACTGTTTCTCTGGAGTGAAGAAGAGCTTGCTCCATCAGTTCTGATGGTCTGCTATCTCACCCTGCACATTTCTTCTTTGTGATAGTAGAGAAGTCCTGCCACATCTTCTGGACTTCACTGCCAGATCTCCACTGGCCACTGCAGCCATCCATCCTAGCAACAATTTCCTCCTCTTTTTCCTTTCTTCTTTTTTTTTTTCCTCGGGCTTTGGAGAACAGCACATCCTTGTAGGCAACCACCTCCTCCATCAGCTGCTGGATCTTTCCTTGGGAGAACTGATGTTTCCTCCTTCTCTGGCTGCCAACTCTGGTTTCTTTTCTGCCACATCATGTTTTAGCCTATTTGCAAGTAATGGGTTAATTTTAATTGATCTTCTGTCTTTGTGATTTGTTAGGTTTTGTATTGTTATTTTGTTCATTTTCATGTTTGTGGTAATGATTTTGCCATTGATGTACGTGGGATCGATGTACCTGTTGTCAACAGCCTGTGCTTTTCTCACACAGAGGCTGGAAAGGAACCAACAAAGTACTATTTAGTTAATTCAGGAATAATGAAGGGTTTTGGAAAACACTTATGAATCTCACTCTTTTTTACCTACTTATTATCTTAATTGTTATTCACCAAGGTTATTATTGGGAAACCCACCCCTGATACATTCAATAACTCATTCAGTGACACTTCCTGTTTGCATAAAATAGATCTGAAACATTTGTGTTCCGATATGTCAAAAATAGCCTATTATTTCAGCTAAATAGTGCTAAATACCACCAATAAGTCATGTGAGGAAAAATATTTATTGAATTATAGTCTAAGTCTTGGCAATACTACCTTATAGCTACTCCTGTTTATTAAAAATACATACGTAACAGCTCATCATATGGTAAGTCATTACATGTAGAGTATATACTACACCAGTAGATGGTGTACTTCAGTTACAACTGAGGTATGGCTCTCTCATCAAGGGGTAGCATATCTGAGGCTATGGTTCCTCCAAAGCCTTGCATGTATGAAATGTATACTTTAATGACAAAATGCATATTGTTACAAAATTAATACTAAAGGGGACAATTCATTTTGTGATTCCACAGACTGCATTTTGTCTACAAAATGACTGTCTTCTTCCCATTTGCAGTACACACTTACACACTACCACACTTGGCAGAAGCGTTCACGTGCTTAGCGCAAGTATCCAAAGGTTTCCCATCCCTCAAACAAGCTAAGTGCAGCGCGCTTAATGTGCACTTAATCCACACTTTGGCAAATACCGCATGGAAGCGGTCTTTGGCTAAGCATATAAAACCACAATGCACCGAATATGAGACAACTAATGACGATAATTCAGTATTTTGGACAGTGCATGACAATAGTCATGAAAGCGTTATGGTTGTAGAATGCATGAAAGAGCTGAGAGCCACTACATTTCTTTTTAAACCGCTCACTCAAATATTTAAAGAGTTCACTGGGCTCTTTGGACTCACCACCTAGACATAACCTCATCTCTTCTAAGGCATGACCCCTAAGCAAAGAAATTATGAAATCCACTTAACATGAAAATTGCAAACGAGAGGAGGCCATTCGGCCCGTTGGAGGGAATTAAACTAATTATTTAAAGTTCAGATTTGAAGGAATCTAGGCTTTTAGTTTGCTAATTTGAGTCATTGGCAGTTCTGCATTGCCCCTCCTCAATAAAATCATCTGCATTGCTCACATCTTTAATTAAATGACCACTAAATGGTTGTACCTGGCATTCTCGGGGTATGAACACGTATGTATTCATCACCTGAGTCACAGGACATTCTGTACAAGTTCAAATCTTGCATGGGTAATTATTCAGTCCTTCCTATGAAATTGAAAGGATATGTTACAGAAAATCAGTTTCTGTATGGATCAGCGAGAATTATTGAGAAGCCTGATGAGATCCCTTGTCTACGCTGCGGAGAATGTCTTATTGCAGGCTGTCTGCTCAACCATTGTGCTATGTCCTGCCCGTTATGTCCGTGTGGCCCACCCATATCTTCCCCAGCATGTTTGCCATATTTTGCGTTTGTTGCAACCATTTTTATATCACTCCCTCAGGGACTGACATTTAAAGATATAATCTTTTCGTGTAAGGAGGTGATGCCATTGGGCGCTTTTCCACCGCACAAAGTACGGTACTTTCGGTACTGTCGCTTTTCCATTGACTTCCGGTCGAGTACCAGTACTGAAATTGTGTCTCCTCTAACTGGACCTCAGTGCCTTGGACGGTAGCAGCTTGTATCTCTGCTTCTGACGCAGGACTTTGAGGAAGGTTAGGAAAGCTTGTGTTGACGAGTCTTTTCTGAGAAGCTTCTTGAGATTGTGGATATCTTTCCAGGTTGTTGACAGCCCGAGTTCGATTAGTGGTGGAGGTGAAATTGAATAAACTCGGCATGCAGTCATGGTGTACGGGGATCATCGTACTTTTTCCTGAAACAAACAAAATGTTTTACTAATAGCGTAATATTCAGTTATTTATATCTATACTAGAAATATACACAGCTTCAACATTACCACGCGTACAAGTCAAATGACTCGTGCGCTGCGTGGATTCAAAGGTTCACGCGATACCCTACTGCGCATGCGTTGAATGCCACTGGGCTGAAACTGCTGTTGCTCTAAAACTGTGGCTCGCCATGCAGGCGCATCTCAACTGCGTTGGAAATTGCGTGCACGCCACGCAGCATTACGATAATCACGCATAATGTATCCGCGTTGCAGCTCCGTATGAACCGAAAGCGAAAGTTTTTGAGTGCGATAGGAAACAGCCTCGTATCAGTATGTCACGTCAGTTGTTTCTCGCGACTATAAACAATTGTAAGATTTCTGTACGGCGCTAAACCATTTTATGGTCATATTGTCGTTGTGGCTATAACAGGGGACATATATAATGTGTTTATTTGTATGCAGTGTTTCTAAAAGCAGTTGAATTTAATTTGTTGAAAATAATTGTATTGCGTGTTACATCGGCCTACTAATCTACTACTACAGATTTTTTGCGCTTCATTTGTGAGCTCGACTACTATACACCGCAGCCGTTGTTGCCTCGTTAATAAATATCCTGTATCTAGATCCGTGTGCAAACTTTTATCTTGCTGTCGTTTTCTTATACAGGAACTACATTCAAACTCCGAATGACCACAAACGAGCTGTGCACTTACTTTGAATCATGGCTGCAACCAAAGGGAGACACATATATATATACCGCAACGGATTTTTTTGTGTATGGTTTTATATTTTTTTAGGCTGCTACGGTGTCCCTAATTATGTCATAAACAAGCACATATTTCCTTGGGACAAAATGAGACTTCCGAGTAATGTCCTCCCAAACCACTATGATCTGAGCATTCACCCGAGTCTTACCACTCTCCACTTTACCGGATCTGTTAAGATCGAAGTGGATATCAAGCAAGACACGAGTTACATAGTTCTGCACAGCAAAGATCTAAATGTTACGCTGGCAAAGATTGTACTAGAGGACGACCCGAAGGACGGTATCGCGGAGCAGACCCTTACGGTCCTGGAGCATCTACAACACGAGCAGATTGCCCTGCTGGCCCACGAAATACTCCGCGGTGGCAAGAAGTATCAACTTCACATCCAGTTTCACGCACAGTTGGCGGATGGCTTCGACGGTTTTTATAAAAGTAGCTACCGGACCCAAAACGGTGAAAAGAGGTAATATCTTAATTAGATATCTAGTTTTCTGCAAGATTGTGAACATGTAATGTTTATGTTACGTATATTTAACGAATAACAGACTAATTGTAAATGTAAAAGCATAACATCCTTATGTATCATGTATATGCACTCCATAGCACATATGTGTTTTTCCTCTCTCCTTGAAGGATACTTGCTGCCACCGATTTCGAGCCTACTGCGGCGAGGATGGCTTTCCCTTGTTTCGATGAGCCGCAGCTTAAAGCCACGTTTACCGTTAGGATAAAGCGGGAAGAGAGCTATAACGCACTCTCAAATATGCCAAAGGTATACTGCAGCTATTTGACCCCGTTATGTTTTATTCCGTAGTTTCATTTCATGACTTATGTTTTCAGTGATTGCATTACATCTTCGTTTGGAAGCTCTATCCTTTTGTGGAGAAAAAAAAGATCTCTCTTTCATCCTTAGATACGAACACTTGAGCTTGGTAATGGTCTAGTGGAGGATCATTTTGCCCAAAGTGTGAGAATGAGCACCTATCTGGTGGCATATGTAGTGTGTGATTTCAGATCTGTCACAGCCAACACATCCTCAGGAGTAAAGGTGAGGTGCCTTGCTTTACTGATTTTCTTTTTTGGTGTCAACGTTTCTATTATATACATATACTGTTATACACTTATCCAGTGCCTGGAGTCTATCTCAGGCAACATAGGGCAAAAGGCAAGGCAATACCGTGGATTTGAAGCCAGTACAACACAAGGCGCACATGCACACACGTTTGTATTCATAGCTTGTGGGGACCCTCCATTATTTTCTATGTGGGAAAAACCCTAATCCTAGCTTTGACAATCTTACCACCTACCCAGCTCCAACCTTAAACAGAAGTAACCAAACAAAATACAATTTAGCTTTTTGATTACAGTCACAGATTTTTATACAATTCAGTGTCCCCTTGTGGGGATTGAAAAAAATGTCCCCAAAAGGTCAAAATAAGTTTTATTTTTTTATCACATTGAGGGAATATTCGCTCCCCTCAATGTAATATATACTTGTCCCCACACATACTCAAAAATTGCATTGCAGTGCTTAAATGGTCCAGGGCTGTCTTAGTCACATACACATACAGTGTTGCTTGCTTTGTCTTGATTCTCATAAAGTATTAGAAAAATATTTTTTTACATAACACATTAACGAAAATAAGTAAACCATCAGCTAATGTTGAGGAGGATGGAGAAAGTGGCTTAAATATATAAATATGCATGTTTCCAGGTCTCAGTGTATGCAGTTCCTGAGAAGTGGGATCAAACTCACCATGCACTTGAAGTTGCAGTAAAACTGCTGGAATTCTATGAGAGTTATTTTGGCATTAGTTACCCACTGCCAAAACAAGGTAAAAATGTGAAGCGATCGAAGACAAGGTTAAAAATACTGCAATTTTTTTATAACTATTTTAAGTGGCAGACAGTCACATGTGAGTTTTGTCTTATAGACCTCATCGCCATACCAGATTTCCAGTCAGGGGCTATGGAAAACTGGGGCTTAATTACTTACAGAGAGACTGCACTCCTGTACGATCCACAGACATCATCTGCCCAGGACAAGATGGAGATCACCAGAATCATAGGGCATGAGCTAGCTCATCAGGTATTTTCATCATGAACGGGCATTCAGCAGAGAGTATAGTGCCTTGCAGTGACCATTGACTTGTCCAATTCTTATGCACGTGTATGCTACTGGTGTCTAAGTAAGGGATAATGTACATTATCCCGCTTATTACACGGCTACTTGCCACATAAGGAAAAAAACTGGACATGAATATGAATTTGAAACATTTTATTGGCATATTTGTTTTAAATTAACATTTTTAAACGGTAATCTTTGTTGGCGCGGAGGGATTTTAAACATACAAGTAGTACCGGCTATGTGTTATTACTTTGGAGCGGTTATTATTTGAAAAGAACGAACCTGCAAATGTCTCAACTGACCAATCAGAATCAAGCATTCCAGAGAGCCGTGTAAGAAAAGTCAGTAATGCCTTGCTTGTTCTTTTTGTGTGCTCCTCTTTACAATATTAATCACTTTTCTATGGTAAATTTTTCAGTTTTAGTGGACAGAGTATTTTGCCATCTTCTTCACAAGCATTACTTTCCTATGCTGATGAAATGGCAGCTGAAATCTTATGCATGCACTTTTTGTCACAGTGGTTTGGCAATCTGGTGACGATGGATTGGTGGAACGACATCTGGCTGAATGAAGGCTTTGCCAGGTACATGGAGAAGGTGTCACTCAGCACCACCTATCCTGATATTCCAGTTGTAAGTGTAAATTATTCTGTGTTATGCAACACTATTCCTGGAACAATCCTTGTTTTATTCTTGTTGTTTACCTTGGCCGTAGTCCTAACGTTGATATGCTGTATTTTTCAGGATGATTATTTCTTAAATGTTTGTTTTGGAGCCATCTCCAGGGATTGTCTCAACTCCTCACACCCCATCTCTAACCCAGCTGAAACTCCAGTTCAGATTATGGAGATGTTTGACACGGTCTCCTATGACAAGGTCAGTACTGCACACAGAAATGCGGTGTTATCCCCCAAACATGTATATACTCATTATGATTCTGCATGTCTAGTCGCGTCAGCTCATGTTCATTTATATAGCTCATTGTGATTTTTGGGAAAGCACAGTGTGTTGCAATGTTTTCTGAAACCTCCAGGATGGTGGGATTGAGCCATAACTCTGTTCTGTGTGCTGCCGGTATGTGTTTTCTGTGTTGTGTGAGTTTTCTCTGGTTAGCTTCCGTTTCTCTCTACAGCAGTGTTTCCCAATCCAGTCCTCAGTGACCCACAATTGGTCCACGTGAATCTTTAAAGTCTTTAAATTACAGATTGTGTGTATGGGTCTTCCCGTGCCTTGCGCCTATTTTGCTACCTGTGATAGGTTCCAGGTTCCCTGTCACTGTCAACAGGATAATCAATGGGAAGGTGGATATTATAATCATGATATTATGGTTTGCAGCTAAGGTACAGAAAAACTGTATACACCATCATGTTATTCTGCTGCTGCCATGTTGAGTGTCACAATACGGCTTTCATTAATATTTTAGGTGCATTATTTATCTGCTTACCAAATTGTGGGTGTAAGTAAACGTCCATATAGTACTGAAAAGCACGCGTCCAGACAAATGTTTATGCCGGTCATCTAAAGCCCAGGTGATTATTGTGTATGCGCCATATAATCGCAATGTGATATCATGCAGCCCTAAGTACAATGCAATAAGTATAGTGAGTCATTCACAACAATGAGTGGTTGCTTGGTAACGGTGGGGGGTAACAGTGCAACTGAGTTAAGGCAACTGGGTCCGCTGTTTATAAGAGTGATGGCTTGTGGGAAGAATCTGTTCTTCTACCTGTTTGTTTTGGTGCACAGTGATCTGTTAAGTTCAAAGAGGTTCTGGCCTGAACTTGAGGGGTCTGTGTTGTTATCCTACCTTTGCTTTCCTAGGGTGCGTGTATCCTAAACATGCTAAGAGACTTCCTGTCTGAGGAGGTGTTCAGGAGTGGAATCACACGCTACCTAAAGCTGTACAGCTACCAAAATGCCAAAAGCAATGACCTGTGGAACTCCATAGCAAATGTGAGCACTCCTTCCTTATATGTTATTTGTTAGAATTTCAATATCAAAGAAATAAACCAAATGCTGAAAACTTGAATGTTTTAATATTTTCTTTTCTGGCTGAAGACTTCCTTTGCAGATACTTTTCCCACGACGGAGTTTTGCTACACTTCCTCCCAAGCTGAAAGGACAGCTGTAAGTATTGCTAACATCTTTGACTGATTAATCGCTGTCATACATCAGTCTTGTGCTGATACAAAGTCAGTGGATTGCAGTAGTGCATTGCATTATACTTTAGAGGCATATGGATGCACTGTCTGAGTGTATCTATTAGATTATGTACTGCATATTAAAAATACATCATCAATATTTTAAATTTGTTCTGCACAATATTGGAAAAAAGTCAAATATCACGATGGGATATTTATGAAGCAAAAAAGGAGATGAAGATTGACCCAAAATAACCTATAGACAAACAGAACTTATTACTTAACAAATAGTGTCAGATAAGTTGGTAGTGTTTCCATGAGTTGTGTCTACAAAAAGCACTGTTGACAAATCACTTGCTTTTGCTCAGTATCGTCTCCACGGAATCCACAATATTTCTGTACAGTGGAAGGCGAATGTCTTTTGGGGACCGATTCTTGTTAGCTTCTCTCCTCCTCACTCTTCGTGTTTAACTTCTGACAAACACACCACACTGTCCATGAGCGAGGCCGGCAGCAATCGCAAAAAGATTATGATTGGCTCGGTGCAGTCCCTGCAATGTGACAGTTTCGTGTGCAAACCATGCAGCGCTGATATTAACTTTGCACATCGTGCTGGCCTATTCTAAACATTTAAAGTATTCATAGGATTAATCTCAGTAACTAGATGTTGTGTCAATGGTGACTGATGCTAGAAAGTTTGAAAAAGACAAATCTTTTGAAAGGTGGAATATCATGTTGGTTTAGGGGCATTTCACAATGACACCGTGTGAGGTCACTTTGACGTGTTCCAACATGTGTTTTTTCCATGTGCTGCTGCAGCACCGCTACACATGTTCACAGACCCCAGACATTAGGAGCATGATGGACACCTGGACCAAGCAGATGGGTATACCTTTGATCACAGTGGAGAGGAAAGGGCAGCTGGTGCAAATCCGACAGGACAGGTTCTTGAAGGGAGTGCTTGAGGATGACGCAGAGTACCCTGCTCTACAGTCAGGGTGCGTGACACTGCAGAGGCCTGTAGGATCTGCAGGGCATCATTAGGCTAACCTATGGCAAGCCCACGTCCTGTAGCACTTCTGAGTCATCAAAAGCTGAATGCATTATTTAGAGGCAGGATCTCAGTATCACATACTTATAGATCCATATCCTTGATCTTATGACAGCAAACATCACTTAGCTACACCAGGGTTTGTTGATTTCTAAAAGGCCTATTGATTTCTTCCACACTTGAAAAAATGTATTAAGATAACCTTTCCTGTCTCACTATATATAAATAAAAACCATCCTAATCCCTTGAAGGCAATGAAGGGAAAAATGACTTCACATGTAATAATAGTTGTAAATGCAAATGGTTGTCTAGTTTCCTAGTATGTTTTGTGAGTATGTGTCTGTTCAACAGGTACCTGTGGCATATTCCTCTCACCTACGTGACCAGCGGATCCCAGAGAGTGTGGAGACATTTACTGAAGACAAAGACTGGTGTGTGTGTGTGTGTGTATGTATTTATGTATATGTATGTGTGTAGGTATATATATTTTGTTTTTTTTGTTTTATCTTGCAGAACAAACATCACTGGCATATCAGGGACACTTTAATAATCATTTACTTTGCTTCATTCCTTAAAATTAGACACAGTTCGTCTGCAAGGAGAAGTGAGCTGGATAAAATTCAACGTCGACATGAATGGGTATTACATGGTGCATTATGGAGACAGAGGGTGGGATGAGCTGATTTACCTGCTGGAACATGACTATTCTGCACTGAGCAGCAAGGACAGGACAAACCTCATCCACAATGCCCTTCAGCTTGTCAGGTATCATGGCCTATACCTGTTTGTTAAACTGCATTGATTTCTTTAATCTGATATTTTCACAGGCCATAAATTTACATCGTAGAGCCTTTCCATAAGAAGAACAGCTAATCTTAAACCCATCCATCTTCATTACTGTTCATCCAGGATAGGGTCACAGTGATAATAGAGTCTATCCCAGGAAATACAGGACACAAGGCAAGAGAACAAACACACACTCATATGCGCACAAACATACTCTATAGATCATTTTGAGAAGGCAGTTTGCATGACTATGCCTTTAGACTGCTGGATGGAAAGAGGAGAACATACAAGCTGCACACACAATCAGAGGGGGTCAGATTTGAACCCCCAACCATGAAGGTGCAGTTCCACCCTCTTGGATAAAATCCATTCTTATTATCAGTTATGTAAGCTAATAAGTACAGAGCTGTGTTTCCCAACATGGTTCTGGGGGGCTCTCAGCCAGTCCATGTTTTTGTTCCCTCCCAGCTCCCTGCTCTGGTACGGTGCTGGGAGGAAACAAAAACTTGGACTGGCTGGGGGTCCCCATAAGTCTAGGTTGAGATGCAAGAACAGCTGGAACACAGGAAAAGGTTCGCAACCTTGAATTTTATGGATTTTAGATGGGAAGTTTATACCTCCTTCAGTGCAATCAGAGAGCATACAAAAATTTCTTTCTACTGCATGAATTAATGATCTTTTCTGATTGGCCGCTATACAGTGCTGGAAAGCTGTCATTGGACAGAGCCTTGGACCTAACTCGCTACCTAAGGAAGGAGACTGACAACATGCCACTGCTGCAGGGCATCGCATACCTCAATGTGCTTCACTGGATGATGGAGAAAATGGGAATCCTGGAAACAGCAGGAAAGCTAAAGGTTTGGCTTCTCTCTGCTCTTTTTAATATTGCGGTCACACTTCATTTAAAGCTGTCTATAATGCACTAGAGGTCAAGGACAAAGTTTATTTCTATAGCACATTTAAAACAACTAAATTTGACCAAAGTGCTGAACATAGATACCTAGCTGTCCAGGACATCCCCCACCTTCTACCTAACACATCCTGGGATCAGCTCCAGGGTCACTTTTACCCCGTACTTAATAAGTGATGGACAAGAAATAAATAATTATTTGAATTGCTGTAACTTTTAACTATACTTCTTCAGATTTTGTAAGTGCAGTTGTTCTAAAATAGCAATTAGTTTGATTTATTCTACATAATCATTTGTAGCACGAGTTACATAAAGACATAATATGCCAGGACATTACTACCTCCTACCAAAGCTTCTGAAACCATTTTGTTCTTCCAGAATTATATACTTTGGTACTTCAAGGATGTCATAGATAAACAGACATGGAGCGATGATGGCTCTCTGTCTGAAAGGAAGGTTCGAGCTGAGCTTCTGGAGTTGGCCTGTAGCCTTGAATACCCTCAGTGTGTTGAAAGGGCCTCCAAGATCTTTAGTGAATGGGTTTCTTCAAATGGAGCCAAGAGGTCAGTCCAGAAACACGTATCCCTTTTCTAGTAACTTAAAGGTGGCACATGCATAGGTATTACACACGTGCGTTTTAGACTGGTTAACATAATATTTTGACCGTTAAGGACTTGACATATATTTATTTAACCATATCAAGGAAATCTGTCCATCCTGTCTTCCATTAGTGTCCCCACAGTTGTCCTGAGACCAGTGTACCTCGTGGGAGCCCAGCAAACATCCAACTGGAATTTCCTCCTTCAGGTTTACAGCCAAACACTGTCCTCTGCTGAGAAAAAAAAGATTCTGTTTGCACTGACTTGCAGCAAAGACCTTGAGAAGCTCAATAAGTATGCATACTGAGAGCACATTTTCTTTTAATCAAGTCAAATTAAGTTATATGTTTATATATGTAACATAGTTGCCAATATAATCCTTGTGGTCTGACACCTCTGACTGTGAATCCATACTTTGGTGTCCCAAATATTCATCTTTTCACATGTTAAGTGAGTTGTTTGTGGCTTCAGTAAGAAGCAGTTCAGAAAAAACAGTCACGCTGCATTTCCATTTGATTGCTATCTGTTATGCTGTGCCTAACATGGATTACATTGACTTGTATGGTTTTTGGAAATCTGAGTGTTATGAGGCAAATTGTTCAGTGTCTTATATAACACTTAATCAGGTAATTAAATTAGATGTGTATAGAGCTTGTTTTTTGTTTTTTGCTTGCTTGGCAGATTGATTGATCTGGCTATGGAAGGGGAGGCAATCAAAACACAGGATCTTCCTACATTGATTGTTGCCATCGCTAGAAACCCTGCAGGACACACGCTGGCTTGGAATTTTGTCCAGAAAAACTGGAAAAAGCTGTTGGAGAAGTAAGCTTTCATATTGTTGTGTTGTGTTGATTTATTCTCCAAAATTGCAAAATCACAGGACAGCATTTACTCACTCTTGGGCGGTTGACTCGAATTGTACATATGCCCATTCTGTGGTATACTTCTGTACTCTCTGAATGTTTTATATGTCACAACCTATACAGTATTTTACTGTGAACACTGGAATACTCTTCCAAGGCACAATGCCTTTCGAATTGAAAGAGATGCTTTATGTCTATGGAGCCATGCCGTTGGTCATCACCGAGGACATTTGTCCTGAGCAAACTGCACACGTGATGCTGAAACGCAAGTGTTAGGCAAAGTAAATGAAGCCTTACCTGTCTGCAAGTGAGTGGTTAGAAATAAATACTCCTGGCTCCCGAGAAGGTTCTTTTACTCCAGCAGGTATTTAGTCAGATAAGCATCTGATGTGACATGGTGTGGAACTGGCACAGTGCTTTTTCCAGTTCAGTGTTCAGTGAAGGGTGTAGTCATACATTTCTTTATAGAAATTAAGCAAATTTAAAAACATGCTACTGATTAAGATCAGTGATACTAAATCAACTGTTTGTATGTTGCACATTTTTCATAGAGATTAAAGTGAAAAAAAAGTAACAGTAAGAAAGAAAATATTCAAATGGTGGGTTTTTTAATATTTTGTTAATAAAATTAAAGCAGGACAAACTGAAATACTCTATCAAATTGTAAATGCAATTTATAATTTAGTTTTGCAGTGAACGATTCAAATACATAAATACATTTCAATATTTTAACCAGATTTCATTTGGGGTCATCGTCTATAAGAAAGATCCTCACAGGAACCATGTCTAGCTTTGCTTCAGAAAAGGAGCTGGAGCAGGTAAGATTTATTCATCTTTGGATGGCTGCTGAATTGATGCTATCATCTTAAATTTCTCTTGAATTTCCAGAGCAACCTGGTGACTTTGGGTGCCCTTAGCAGTGTTTTACCTGTATCACTTATTTCCTACATTTATACAGGGAATTTCAGAACCATTCTCATGCTGATGTAATCTTCTCTTAATAGTGAATTTTGCCACATCTACACCTATATCCTGAAGGGTATTCTTGATCTGTTTACCAGTTATAAACCACATTTTTCTTTACCATTCCAACTATTCTCCTCTCATTCAATTCACTGCTCTTCTATGGTCTGCCAAATCAGTTTCAATAGCTGAGCTCACCTTTGCACTCTTACATCTTAATAATGTATCAAGCCACTGATTTTGATATGTTATTTTGGCTATCTGTGACCAGTTTCTTACAGTTTTTCAGATGCACGATGGCCTGCTTCAATGGCATTGCTACATCTCATGCTGATACAGGGACAAATTCCAATACCTAGAATCTTCCCAAGATCTTTGGCTATTTCTTTCATAAAGTAACAATGAAATGAAACCCAATTGCATTTGAGCAATAGGCCATCCAATTACTTTAGGTCTACTAAAAATGGAGGCTACACTGTTTACCCAATCTGAAAATCAATTTAGATCCAAAAGTTAGCACTTTATAGTCATAGAAACTGTTTCATTTCAAAAACAGGCCACAGGAGTACAGAGCCAAAACTGCCCAAATATTACTGTCCAAATATCTCGAACTCTACATTTCCAGTTTAAACTGTACATTTTCAAGAAATAATTATTAGGACATAAAAGCAAATTTTAGTAATTTATAATTAATGCAAGTACGCTGTTTACTACTGAATGTTGGGTGGGTGGATTTCTCTTCAGAGGATCTGAAAAGTTAAAGTAGTGTTTGCAAAATAATCACAGATAAAAAGGTTAAACATTCACATATTATCACTTTTGTCACATTCACTGTCAATTATTTTTCTTGACAGGCAAAAGCACTGTTTGACCTGCTAAAATCCCAGGGACATGAATTAAAGGTGACAGAAGTCATATTAGAAACAATCCAGAAGAATATCCGATGGGCAGAGAGGAATCTGCATGTCCTGGATGAATGGCTAGAAAAAAATTCTCCACAACGCTCAACAGTGTTTTAAACCTGCTTTTGAATATAAATACATTTATTGAAATGTGTGTGAGCTTGATATAAATGTACAACTCCATGACAATACAGTTTTCTAAGATTGCAAATAAAATATTTAATACCACACCTTTATGTTCATTTCATTGTTTTCATATACAGGGCCAGCGTGATTAATTCCTAGGCCCAGGACAAAATTATTTCAGCGGGGTCCCCTGCATGAGGATCACCCCCCCAGCAATTTCCTCGATTGTCCACACCATACAACGGGCCTGTCGATAGATCACGGTATTCCTAAATACCAATTAAAATAATATTAAAAAGTAATGTCCCACTCTGTGCTGTTCTATGGTCTATCACACTAAAATATTATCAGATTTCTTGTTGCGTTCCCTGCCAAAACAATGTACTGTAACAGTCACGTAGAACAATATTATAGAAAATAGATATATTATTCATCCAGTCTTGCTCTTTATGAGATACCGGTAGAAATACAGATGAAAGCAAGCACAGCACAGAATCAGCCAGCATCTAGTACCCCTAGAACTGGGGTATCAAACTCCAGTCCTGGGGGGTCGGAGCCCTGTGTAGCTTGGCTCTTTCCTATTCTACCACAAATGATTCAGCTCAAGTGCTGTGTTTGTAATTGGCACAAGGAGTTGAATCAGGTGTGTTAAACGAGGGTAAACCAAAAACTGCAGGGCTCCGGCCCTCCAGGACTGGAGTTTGACACCCCTGCCCTAGAACAATTAGGGCTAAGGGTGTTAAGCATCAGAGTGCCAGCAATGGGATTCAAACTGGCAATCTTGCTATCATGGGAACAGGCCTAATCATATAAATATTTATTTGCTAGATATTTACGGCACAAACTTATATCCACAGAGGAACAGGAGCAGTCATTTACTTAACTACAAGGCCTGCTTCTCATTAAAAAGGCAAAAAAAAAAATCTTTAAATACAAACCCCCTCAGTGTGTGAGTGTATTTCCCCCCAAATCAATATAGTTTTACATACATCTTGCCTTATTCATGTGTGTAAATGTGCGGCTTGCAATGCACTGTCATCATATTCTGCGTGTTCCCCTGCCTGGTGCTCTGGTTCCTGGGGTAGGGTCCCCACAACCCCATGCTGGTTTGAAAATGGATGACTGAATGAAAACAATTTGAAATCCTAGTTCTTCGGGAGTCGCTTTAGTAATAATATTCATGTTTGGTTCGTGTTCTATGATGGGGACAGGAGACATTTTGTCAGGAGATCCAGAATTTAGAGCAGACAGTATATGAATATATATATATGTATTAAACGGGAACCGAAAATGCATTAGTTTGAAGTCAGGCAAATTATTTCCTCAAAGTACTTCACTGGGAACTGAGGATATAACCTCCCCCAATACAGTTCAAGAATGCCATCATCATAAGGTTTATCGTTTGATTTTTTAAGGCTTTTGCTTAACTCTCCCTTTGTATCTATCATGACAAATATGAGTCTTCGATCCATCCAAAAAAATAATTTTAATGCTATTCATTGGTGCTGAAGTTGAAAGTTCAAACAAAAAGTTATTTCCTTATTTTTAATTTATACGGAAAACACGCGTTACATTGGCTTAAAACGGTTTTCTGAGCACAACACAGGTTATAGAACTATCAGAGAAAAGCGACCGCGCCCTAATGACCCAGGGCAAACTTTCTTCTGCACCCCGCCATATACAAACACAATGAGAAACAAACACACCAACCTGCACTTAAATGGTCGGCTTTATTTTCATTTGTTATTATAATTCCAAGGTCACGACGACGACCAATAAACCTTCAGGAGAGGCTGGGTGACAACCAATTAAAACGCGAGTACTTAGCCGGTTCCTAGGACCTTGAATTCGGCCTCGTCATGTGTCAGAGAAAAGGGAAGGAAGTGCAGATCTGCTTGAAATGGTCGGCTGACTATACAAGTCTCTGTCACACAGTACACTGAAATAAAAAAAGTCTGTGATTTTTCCCCCCATATTGGTGTTCTTAAACGCCAGTTTGGTAAAAGTATCTTAATATTTGGATGAGCTCTGTTTTCGTAATGGATAATACAGGATTCTGAGAAGTCGGAGGGAGCAATTACTCGCTTTGGCGTCACGAGCTAAGGCTGCTTCGCTGGACAGTTAGCATGTGTAGGCTGAGTTTTGGGTCGTTTTACAGTTAATTATCCCATACGGATCGAAAGAATAAGATTAGTTCTCCGCATAGCGAAGATTTGAAAACATGGAGCCCTTTCAAGGCGGTAAGTTACTTTTTTTTTCCCTGTGGCGCGAGCTGGTGTCGTAGGTTTGTAGTTTGCTAAAATCCGGCAGCGGATTCACTTGGAATGGTCGGGGTGGCCGGATCTGAGCCGAGGTCCGGATCTAAGCCCACACCAAGTTTGGACCACTTGAGGCCTGTTTAGACCGTTCATCTGAAGCACGGCTTAACGCGACATGTCACAGCCGCCCAGTCGGTTCCCCTAAAGCCGTATGATCTGCTCGACAAGCGCACGGTTATATGACCGGCGACTGGAGCTGGTGATTTAATCACCGGGGTTTGGAACATTGATGTCTAGTTATGCAGGCTACCTGCTAAACCAGCGACATATCGCAAAGTTTTCTGCTTTAAAAAGAAGCAGCAGGTGTTAAATGATGGTCGTAGAAAAGCCCAGGACGGCGCCGCTGCCTGGCCAGTCTGCTACTGTCATTGCAGCGCCGTGTCTTCTGGTATCTCCCTTGTTTCCGTGAAGGCGATTAATTGTTTACATCTCTTTCGACACAGTGCTGTCATTTCCCACCTTCCTCTGACGATTAATATTTCTTTAATACTTTCTGCATACTGTCAATTTTGAATCACTGATGGGTGTTTTAAGATTGCATGGTATTAAAGTTATTTTGACTTTTTGAAATATTTAAAATTTGTGAACTACTTTGTCTCAGTCAAGAGCAGCAAATAAAATGCATCAAAATAGTCAGCTATAAGTATTAATCGGTAGCTTATTTTCCCACAAAGGCTATAAATGCTTAATTTATAATAAATTAATTAAGTGTTTATGCTTTGTGGATTCCTTTGGACCAGTTGTAAAACATAATTCAGTGCCTCCGGTCCAACCAAATAAACTGAGTTAGTTGCTTTCAGTATGAGCAATATTCGTATTATGAGGCATATTCACCTAAGGTGAGATGGAAGATGGGTTTTGCTTTTTGTTCGTGCCCGATTATGGGCCTTTTCTAATAACGTTGCCATGTTTTGTGTTTTTTTGCTTAGTTTATTTCCCTAGCAAATTAAGGAATTCAGAAAGTGCAAAAGCAGTGTAACCCGGAAAACAGAAAGAAACTGACATTATGCTTAAGAAAGTACATAGCTCGTTCTGGGGACTTTCCCTGAGTATACAGAGAGAAAATAGGTCAGGTTTGTGTATCGCTTTGTATCTGCCTATATGTTAGCCCCCTCATTGCTGCCAGTTCAGCTAATTTTGCAGTGGCTTATTTTTCTTTCTGGCGAATGCCCCTGGTTATGTATTAGGTTTAAACTCCCCTCCATTCTCATCCTTATCTAGGCATGACATGTTAAACACAAACATTCATTGTTTTGTGTGAGATTCTCTGACACACATGGCCTCACATATTCCCAGATATAATAAAAAGTCTTGTGGCATAATGGTGTTAGTGTGAAATTCTGCAGTGTGTGTACATACCATGCACTGTTGATTGCCTTCCTTTATGTTAACATCTGAAGGTTCTTTCAGTTACTATAATCACTGTAAAAAAAAAAAATGCACAGAAAAGCAAACTGAAAAGCGTGTGTGAGTTTGTATTGAGTATTCTTGACAATGCACTGGCAGCTGTATAATGACACAAGTATTTCTACCTAACCAGGGATTAAGATGGAATAGTTTAGCTATTTGTGTCAGTTCTTTTTGATATGCTGTGGGACAGTCACTGTATCACATGAACTTTGCAGTTTTTCACATTACAAAAAATTTTCTATTCTATGTATATCCCTTTTTTTTTTTTTTTTACTTTTTACAGTTGTCTGGTGGGTGAGGCAGGTGAATTCATACCCATAATTTGAAATGAGTTAGTTGCATAAATGCCACTGAATTTAAAAAATGCAGTCCTCTTAAAATTTTAAATTACATGAATCTTTACTTGATACCAGAAAATAAATAAAAATAAAAAAAAAACTCAAAATGGTGCCCTTTGAAATACTGCTTTGAATTCCTGGAAAATCAGTTCTACAGGGGGAAAAATAATTTGAATAATTCTTGGAGAACTTCAAAACGCCCCGAAATCTTAGGTCACCCAAAAGCTTTAATCTGGCTCCAGAATTATCCAGTTCTTGAAGATCAAAGCATGCAATCTTTTGAGCACATGACGTGTGGATATCCCAGATGGAATTTTCATATAAACTTGAAATCGTTAGTTGTCACTTCATTTCGCTTTTGTTGTTCCAGGCAGTTCTATTGAGGGTTTTAATGGATTTAAGTTAAATACAAGTGGGAATATAAAATGGATGGATGAGTTGGGATGTCCTGTAATACCAAGAGTCAGACCAAATTACTTACCCATGTAGCATCTTTTTTTATGTCTACAAAAGCAACTCGGTCGCAACCTGTTTTATTTTTATCTCTTTTTTTATATCTTTTATATATCTGTAAGGTGTGGAACTCCTTGCCCCCTACTGAAGTTTCATAATATCTGCATGCTTCTGTTGGTTTGCATTGATGTACTACAAAAACAGGAAATCTATGGTTAACTGACTTAATTTTGGCTTTCACTGCTGCCGTTCTTGTAGCCAGTATGAGAATCGAAACTTTTGAAGCCAAAGGAAACAAGATAGCAAGAAAAATAAGTCTGTAAAAGACCAGAAGCATTTTCATAAGCTGTTCCTTAGACTTCAGGCCTGTCATTAAGTAGAATAATGATGTCAGTCAAGTACTGTGTTTGTTGTCAAGTACTAGAAAAATATGAACTTAAGTTGTCTTTAAAAACTTGTTAGTTTTACGTGTGTGCGATTACACACATCTGCTTTCACTTTTTGCTATTTTCTACATTTTGGTAGAATTTTGCTTCTCCTTTCCTCTTCAATTCAGCTCACACCAAACAGTCTCTCTAGGTCTTTGGTTGGACGATTCCACCACTCCATCGCTTTGTATCTTCAGATATGTCTTCATTGGGTCATTATTGAAAAACAAACTAGGACCCAGCTAACTGCAAACCAGGTAGTATTGTGTGACACTGTAGCAAACAGCTGGGGCCTGTATCATGAAGCATGAATTGTTGGTTAGCCTGAAACCCCAGTTTAAATGGACTTCATCTTCATTCACTTACATTTCGCCCAGACTACTTATGCTAACTCAAAATCCAGGTTTGTAGTAAAGCATCTAGTTAATTAGTCTTCCTTCAGTTTTCAAACAGTTGTCAACCATGTCATAAGTAAAATACTAGGGATGCACCAGTTCCATTTTTTTCTGTCCCGATACCTGGGCTTTGGGTATTTTGCTGATACCAAGTACTGATCTGATACCAGTGTTTAATTAATAAGCTGTAGGCTTCTGCCTCAATGTGTGGAAGAGACTGTGATCTTTCTTTTATGTGTAAGGCAACAGGCTTAACTGAAACCTTTAACAACCTTTGCTAACTTTGTAAAGCTAAATGTAACACATGCATATGCTTATGCGCATATTTATCTCTCTCTCTCTCACTCACACACACACACACACACACACACACATTCATTTGCAATCCCTGGATATAAATAACGCTTCAGTTTCATTTTCTCTTGCATCGCCAGAATGTGCGCTAAAGTTTGTTGTGGTCTTTCTCGGCTAACATTAGCAAACTGCATTTACTTTGCATTGCGATGTGTCTTTAGATGTTTGATCAAATTGTTTGTGTTAAATCTTTCCCTTCCTCCTCTTGACACTTTAGCAGATCAGAGCTTGCAGTCTGCTGTACTTCTGTCGTAGTCCCTTATCTTAAAATATGTAAAACTGCTGACATCCTCCACACAAATTTGCCAATGCCAGTGTTTTGTGCATTTATCCTTCTGAAGTATTTCTGCTGACAAATCTCTCACTAGATGACAAAATCTGATGGGACAGTGCAAAAGAAATGCAGCGGCTTTGAGTTTTAACATAATGTAGCAATTAAGTAGTATCGGTTCTTGGTATCGGAGAATTTTTACGAGTATGAGCATAGTATCAACCCGATACCCCATACCAGTATCGGTATTAGTGCATCCCTACAAAGTATCCCCCAGACAAGGGAGTTAGAATTCTCTGATTTGGAGCCTTAAGACCAGGTCTACTAGCCATTAGCACTGCAAAATATTGGAAAAACAATCACATCACGATATTTTAGATTAATATTCATAAAAAAAGGAAATTAAATGTACTCAAAATAAACGATAGCCAAAAAGAACTTATTTGGCACACACTATTGGTAGATAAGTTGATAGTGTTGCCACACAAGATGTCAGCGGACACAAAGCAATGAGAACTCACTTGCTTTTGCTGAATATTCTCTGTGGAATACAAAATATTGTCATACAGCAGAAGGCAAATTAATTTTTATTTCTTGTTCTCTTTTGTCTTCCTCGCTCATTTTTGTTAAATGTCTCATAAACATGCCATACTCCCTATGAGTTAGACTGACAGCAAGGACAAAAATGATCCAGATTGGCTGTGCAAAAGGAGTGACAGTAAAGTTTTAAACTGATTTTTTTTTAACAATTTATTTTTGTTGCCATTTCAGAAGGGTGGTGTTCATTTAGCCTTGGAATTCCAAGTGGACTTAAATGTTGGTAGGATCTGTTGAAAAATGTTGGTAGGATCTGTTGAAAAATGTTGGTAGGATCTGTTGAAAAATGTTGCATTCACGTCTCTTGCTTTAATTGCATGACCTGTCATCCTTTTGTCCTTCTTTTGGTCTTTACCTGTGATCATATTTCTTTCTGTGGAAAATACTTAATGGCTAAGTTAGAATCTGACAAATGGCAGATAGTAGCTTGTAAGTACAGACCCTGTGGATGTATTCTTAACGCCATTTGGTTTATACGGTTATGGAGGCCATTCCAGTCATTCATTTGTACTCCTCTTTTTGGTCGGGCTCGTTGTGATGTAAAGGTCTCCTAGCATTATTTCAGTTCATAGCAGATGGAAAAGTATAACATAATCACACTTTATTGATACCCGTAGGGAAATTCTCTTTTTGCCTGCCACATCTTGTTCTCTATGGCACAGATAGACACATTTGTAGGAGAGAGCAAGCTTGGCAGCGAAGGGCAGCCACCTGCAGCTTGGCCCTATGGACATGTGACCCTTCTACTAAAACCGGCCTTAAAACGGTGACATTCCAAATACAAGCACCAGGCAAATAAAAAGAGAGAAATTGATTTAGGCTTACAGTTTTTGTTGCACACGTGCCTGTTCTGCAAACAGACTAATGCATGTGCACACCAAAGTGTAAACTACAATACCCAGACAAACATGCAGACAGAGCAGTGGTGGGATTTGAGCCCCCAGCCATGGAAATGTGAGGCACAAACCCAACCAACTGGGCCACCATACTGCTCTATGCAAAAAAAAAAAAACAAAAAAACAAATCTTAGACCTTATGTATTTACTTAATGAGTTCAGATCTAACAACCCAATTAGAAATGTTTAACCTTGGATCTTTGCAAAAGTCCCCGCAGTTTGCCCTGTTAAGTGATCTGACCCTTTGCTTTTCTCTGCCCTCCCCCCCATTCTAGATCGGGCCTCTTTGCCTAGGAACATGATTGAGAACACTATGTTTGAAGAGGAGCCAGATGTTGTGGACCTGGCGAAAGAGACCCCAGCGTATCCTTTGGACCCTGATGATGTGGTCTATGAGCCCCGCAGCTCCCGTTTGCTGGTACGGGGCTTAGGAGAGAATGACATGGACGAGGATGAGGAAGACTACGAGTCCTCAGCCCGCCTGCTAGGCATGTCGTTCATGAATCGCAGCTCTAGCTTGCGGCCCAAAACTTCCAACTATGCCCGGCAGGATCGCGCGGGCTCCTGCTCAGTGCCCTCCACCCGAACTCTGATAGTGGGGGTCTTTATCCTGGTTGTGGCTGCCTCTGTGGCTATGGTCATATACTTTCTACCAAGATGCACATTTACTAAGGAGGGCTGTCACAGGGAGAATGACACAATGGAGCTCATCTACCCCAGGACCAGCGACGGACAGCTATTCCCCTGGACCTCACTGAGGCTGCCAGATAACATTCGGCCAGTGCATTATGAACTCGAAATCCAACCCAACCTGACCACCATGACGTTCAATGGAAAGGTTTCTATCCAAGTAAATATTTTAAATGATACCAAAATGATAGTTTTACACAGCTCTGACATGAAAATCATTAATGTTGCCGTCCAAAGCAAGAAGGCTACGTTTCTGGAATACAAGCCTTGGCAACAGATAGCGATAAAGTTAACAAAGGACCTGAAGAAAGACGAAAGCTGCTTGTTAGAAATAGAATACAGCGCTAACCTTTCCAACAAATATATGGGCTTCTATAACAGCTCTTATATTGATAAAGGTCATAATAAAAGGTAGGTTCTGATTAGTTTGTTGATCTACTTTTTTTAACCAATTTGAGCTGATGCAAGCAGAAAATATTTTATACATGCATCAAAAAAATGAAATGTACTTTCGGCTTAAAGATAAAGGACGTTTCTGGTTTTGAAATGATACCTGAATTTACTTTTATCGTTAATGTATTTCTCTGAACATGTATTGACTGATATGTTTATAATTCTATGCACATGCTTAGGTTGTGCACATCTCTGATGCTGTGTTGTGTGGGTCCCGCCACCTTCCACCTTTCTCCATCCAGGGTTCTAGTAGCAACCCAGTTCGAACCTCTGGCTGCCAGGAACGCTTTCCCCTGCTTCGATGAACCAGCATTTAAAGCTACGTTTCGGATTAAGATAAATCGAGAAGATGCCTACATTGCCCTTTCTAACATGCCCAAGGTGCTGATGGTTCTCTTATTTATATTTCTATTGTTTTTGCAGAGAATTATCTGAAATCTTTTTAGCAATGCTGCCCATCTGTGTTTTTATAAAATATTCAGGTTGTGTATACACACAGGTCCCAAAATCAGACTGCACTGGACGTTGTTTGCTTGTCTTAACCTGTTTGCTCTTTGTATCATTTGTGTTCACCCTCTAGAATCAGACCATTAAGTTGCCCGGTGGGCTTCTGCAGGATGAATTTGAGAAGAGCCTTCCAATGAGCACATACCTGGTGGCATTCATTGTCGCAAATTTCTCCCATGTCAGCAGGAATGCTTCAGACACCTTGGTACACAGCCCTTTTCAAGACGTAGTGACATGCAGAAATATTTCTCATTGTAATAATTTATTTGTAATGATTTGAATAATTAACTCCCCCCCCCCCCCCCCATCTTTTCAGGTGTCTGTATATGCTGTTCCGGATAAGGTGGACCAGCTCAACTATGCACTGGATTCTGCAGTGAAGCTCTTGGAGTTTTACAACAAATATGCTGAGATAAAGTTCCCCTTAAAGAAACTGGGTATTATGATCTTTTCGTGAGATTGGCACAGACCCTATCGCCAATTATTTAAATTAAATTTGTTGCACACATGTTCTTTCTTAGATTTTATTGCTTTACCTGGCACTATATTAGTCTTCATCATAAAATAGGATGGGGGGGGGGGGGCTGTGGTTGGCTGTACATTGAAAGATAGTATTTTTCTCCTTTTTAATGGAGTTCTATATTTGCAGACCTGGTGGCCATTCCTGACTTCCTGGCTGGGGCCATGGAGAACTGGGGCTTGATCACGTTCCGTGAGACAGCCTTGCTGGTCTGCAATCAGTCGTCCCTTACGGACAAGCAGGGGGTGGCTGCTGTGATTGCCCATGAATTAGCACACCAGGTAGAGCTCCGCAAACACCAACTTTGTACCCACATTTCCTGCTTCGTGGTCTTACTCTAACTGGACCTGTGCATGATATTGTGTGTTTTTTTTGTAAATCATACTCGGCTGTGAAACGTGAGATGATACATATAGCATTAGTCAACATGCTAATCTGGGATTTTGTGTCAGATTTGCATTTTATATTTCAATTTGTAGTAACTCGCAAACCAAGCTGCACGCTGTTTTGATTGTGCCCCTGTTGAAATGTTTCCTTGAAAGAAATTCTTATGAAGTCATTCTGTCTTTTTTTTTTTTTTTTCCCGCCTTCAGTGGTTTGGTAACCTAGTAACCATGAAATGGTGGAATGACCTTTGGCTGAATGAGGGCTTTGCAACGTACATGGAGTTCAAGTCTGTGGACACAGTCTTCCCGGAGCTTGAAATAGTAAGTGTAGCAGTAGCACAGTAACTTGTTCCCATGAAGTGTTTTCGCTGAAATAGAGTAACAGGCTGACCTTTTTTTTCAGCCATGCCATTGTTTGAGAATGAATTATTTTCAAGCCTGGCATAACCTTAATTTAAATAGTATAAAAATGCATTGCATTTTGTGTGTCCTCTCCCTCCTTTTTGAGACAAATTAGATTCTTGAGGCGGGAAAACTGGGGAAGAAAATGTTAAGCAGAGGCTACGTTTGTTGGATCTTGTGACCTTATTCTGTAAATTAAAGATAATTGATGTGCCTGGATCATATGTAAGCTATGCTTTTGGTTTTAGTTATTTCAGTTTCAGTACATGAGTACAGCCAGATAATGGTTCACCTTTGGGCTCCCTATTTCTTCCATGATTTTTTAATTATTCATTGTTATAACCACTAAATTTGCCCATGTTATTGGCCAGTACACTGAGAGTTTGAATAGATGTAATCCAATTTCATCTTTGTCTTTCTTCATGCCAGGGCAACAGCTTTCTAAGCATGCGTCTCAGAGTGCTGGAAAAAGACTCACTAAATTCATCCCACCCCGTTTCTACAGAGGTGTCAACGCCTGAACAGGTGGAAGAAATGTTTGACTCTGTGTCCTATGAAAAGGTATGAAAAGGGAAGCTGGCCACCCAGCATACATTAGGGTTTACGTACGGTGTCAAAACAAATGTTGTTATTGCTTTTTCTTAATGATTCTCAAAATATCTTTAGGAAAAGTATTTCTTAAGGTAGTTTTCTTATATAGCTGAAAAATCTGGGATGGGGGCTTTTAAAACCTAGAAACTCTTTTAAACTTGGAAAGTTTCAGAGTGGCTTATGTAAATTTTTTTCTTCAGGGTGCTTCAGTCTTGCTCATGCTTAGTTCCACGATGTCTGAGGAGAAGTTCCACAAGGGGGTCACTGATTATTTACAGAAGTACAAAGAGAAGAATGCGGATACTGAAGACTTCTGGAAAAGTCTTCCATTGGTAACTACAGTTTATTCAGTGGTGGGCTGGTGCAAATGTCGTTTCACAGCACATTCGTTTTGCCAGGTTGACCGTCGTCTTTTAAATCGGTAAATGCAGTCTCTACCTTCGCTCTTGCATTTTCTGCAGTAGTATTTGCAGCTCCCGTGCCTGAGAGAATCCATTTGCACAACAACTGCTGTAGTAACACTTGAAATAGGAAGCACTGGCCCATCACAATTATTCAAAAAAAGACACTGGGTGTTGAAGGGGATATGTGTCAATTTCCGCTTATAAAGGAAAGTCAACAGTTTAAGATACCATGAGTTTGTCTGTAATCAGATAATTATATTAAAAATATGATTTTTAAAAAGTAACCATTTTAATGATGCAGAATGATTAAATTGTCAGTATTGCTACTTATCTTCTGGATGTTTTTATCTTCCTATATAATTCATACTTTTTATTGATCCCTGCGGGGAAATTTTCTTTTCACCTCCCCAAATTTGCTGTCCATGAGAGCAAGCTTGGCTGTGAAGGGCAGCCACCCATTGTGGTGCCCAGGGAACTAGGGGTCAAGGGCCTTGTTCAAGGACCCACAGACGTGCTGAGGTGCGCTTCGCTGTGCTGAGTTCACCCTGTGAAAATTTGAATACATTACCTGAAGCATTTCTCATAATGGGTAAAACCCAGGAGTAACCTCTTCCATAATGTCCAAGTTTGTATGGAAGAATGTCTTGCATGTAAGCACAAAACTTTAATGTTTGAAAGAGAAGGAAGTAGTTTATACAAAAAACGATTCTAACAACTGGTTCATACTTACTGCGGACACGGACATGCGTGCGCTGTAGTGCTGGACTGTCCACGATCCTGAACTTCACACTCGCCAGGCAACTGCGTACTTTTGACCGGGCCTGGGGTAGCACTACGCCGCAAAGCTGTTCTTATGTCATGTTTATGAAGTATGGTTTAGGTTATACTGAAAATCCAGTGGTTGGCTCAGCTAAGCAGAAAGTTAGCTTCGATAACTACTAATCAGCTAACTCTAAAGTTTAATTTGATTTTAAAATTAGATAAACCATGAAAAAAAAATTGTGGAAGCTAACAATAACCACTAACTATTATTTGAATTTAGCTTGGGTTTGGTTTTTGGCTTGTAGAAACATACCTAGAGAGCTAAAATTTTAACCCATCTATTTAGTCCCATCAGCTGCACTAGAGTGATTACCAGGGGGTATTTAGGACTTACCCAACTGGATACTATCGGATTCTGTAGAGTGTTGAAATGTTTTTATGATATTCTGTTTGCAAGATATGCACTTTAAATCTTACAAGTTATTGACTAAGCGTGTCTTATGTTTACGCATAGTCAGCCAACAGTGTGCCAGATACAGTAGGCTGTTGCAGACAGGAATAAATATGTATGATTTTAGGGTTTACAAATGTTTTTGACCGTTTTAATCACTTTACCTGCAAAACAATGTTAGTGGATTTACAGTTAGTGGAAATAAATTTAGCTGAAGCTAATTGGTCCGGTAACAGATTTCAAAGTTAGCAGTAATGCTAATCCACTAATGAAAAAGTTAGCTTTGCTGATTAGCTGTTAGTGGATTAGAAGTACTCTGTCCACCACTGATTAAAACTAACCGTGCGTACAAATGTTAACATAAGAACATAAGAACATAAGAACTATACAAACGAGAGGAGGCCATTCGGCCCATCGAGCTCGCTTGGGGAGAACTTAACTAATAGCTCAGAGTTGTTA